GTGCGTTGCGCCGGTCTTGGTGCCGTGTCTGGGCGGCCACGGCGCGGCGACGTTTCCCTGCCACCAAGCGGCCCCCTTCGCCTGCCACGTACCCTGCGGCCAGCCGCTCGCGTGCGGCAACCACGCCTGCAGCCTGCAGTGCCACGTGCTCGACGCGTCGGCGCTCGCCTCGGCGGCGGCCGCCGGCGCCAGCGGGCGCGCCCTGCCGGACGGCTTCTACGCGTTCGCCGCCGCCGAGGTCGCGCAGCGGCTGCCGCAGGCGGCCCGGCCGTGCGAGGTCTGCGCGCGGCCGTGCGGCGCCAGGCGCGCGGGCTGCGAGCACGCGTGCCCCGAGCGGTGCCACCCGGGGCCGTGCCCGGCCTGCGTCGTGCCGCGCACGCACCCGTGCTTCTGTGGGAAGACGACCCTCCCCTTTGTCTGCCACGAGCTGCAGCGGGTGCTTGGCAAGGCCGGCGGCGGCGCCGATGCTGCGGCAGCGCTGTCATGTGGCAAGCCGTGCCACCGCGCGCTGCCCGGCTGTCAGCACCCCTGCCGCGCGCCGTGCCACGAGGGCGCGTGCGGGGACGTCTGCCGGGAGGAGGTGGCGGTCAGGTGCGAGTGCAGGCGGCAGAAGCAGAAGTGGGCGTGCGACAGGGTGCAGGCCGCGCTGAGGGCGGCGACTGGCAGCGGCGACTATGATTCGGGGGCGACGAGCCTCAAGCTACTGGCCTGTGACAAGGAGTGCACGGCCGCGGCCCAGGGCAAGAAGCAGCTGCAGCAGCAGGGTCGTGCGACGTCGCCGGTTCAGGAGGCCGCGGCGCGGGCGGGGCCCCAGAGCGCGGCGCCCGCGCCGGACGAGCACCACGGCGGCGGCAAGCCGAGCGCCAAGCGCATGTCTCGGGCGGAGCGCGACGCACTCGCCGCGGCACGCGTCGCGCAGCAGCTAGCGGCGGAGCGGCGGAAGAAGCTAATGCAGTGGGGCGGCGTGGCCGCGTTGGTCGTGGGCACTGCGGCGCTGACATTGTGGCTGGTGCTGCTGCTCAAACGGCTGCTGGAGCCGCCGTCCGCGGCGCCGGCCGCGTGGGAGCAGGGGGAGCTGTGAGTGGGAGAGGAGGAGCGGGGGTTGGCGGAGGGTGCCGCGTCTCAGTGCGCCTTGGCCAGAGTTAGGTTGCCCAAACAGAGCTGCGTCATGTTGCGGCCAGCGAGAGCACTTCCGGTTTTCAGGAAGCTCAAAGGGCTCCTGTACCTTTGCTTGCTTGAACAGATTGCAGATTGCCATAGCGCCATCCCTGCCTGCATCTTATCTGCATTTGCATTTATCTACATTGTCCAAACGCTGCAGCAATGCAGGTGCATTGATTGACTGTCTGCTGTGCGTTTTGCATTCGTACCAGGTCTTCTTGTGCGGTTGCATGGGCCAGCTCGTACCGTAACAGTTGCCAGATCCATGGACAATTGGGCGCGTCGGCAGCCTAGCAATGGATTATGATACACGACCAAAGCTACCTCGACATGATTTTTGCAGATATGGATTGTGGTCAAAGGTTGTAGGGTACAAGGCCGGAGCAGATCAGCCCCTGGGCGGCGGTCAAACAACCACGACGACGGTAATGGACACACACCCACTACCAGCCTGCGAAGGTGCCAGCGTGATGGCGCCAATTAATTTGATCAATTGTTTATCATCGCACTCTTGCTGATCAGACTAGCGATTGCGCGCGGAGTGATCTGACGCGCGGGGATGTCCACCATGGCCTCTGCGGACGAGGTGGATGAATTCATAGATCGGGTAGACGAAGTGACCAGGCTCATAGACGGCTTAAACTCTGGCACCCTGCCTCCGGACTACATCGATCGCAAGATAGAGGCCCAACAGCGTGACAGGGACGCCGCTGCTGCACGCACTGCGCCCAAGGGCCCGCTGCCTGGCCCTGGCTCACGCGGCGCCAGCGATGCGGCAGCGAGTAGAGATGCTGGCGGCACCGCAAAGGCAGAGGAGGCGCGCCAGGCCGAGCTCATGCGCAAGGCGAGCAGCAACAGCAGAGGGGGGTGGTCACCTGCAAAACAGCACTCCGGCGCCTGATGTGGGAGTCCCGCTTACCAACGCTTTCATTGATTCAATCCTTCTATTCCGTCCAAGCACAGTGCTGGCGTCGCTGCATGCGCTGGCACTGCTGCATGGGGCCTGCACGCATGTGACATGCACAGGTGCCACCTCATGCATGGGCTGCATGACCCCACCATGCGTGTGCGCATGCCCCCGCAATTGCCCTTCCCTCCCCCCCTCTTGCCCACTATAGGTCGAGGAGCTCAAAGCAAACCGCACGCGCAAGCTCAAGGCACGGGCCATGTATGAGCAGTACGTCCAACAGCAGCAGCAGCAGCAGCAGCAGCAGCAACAGCAGCAGGGGAAGCAGGGGAAGCAGGGGGAGCAGGGCCGGCACCTGCAGCAGGGCTGGGGCGGCGGCGCGAAGATCGGCGAGGTGGATTACGCGCGGTGGGACATGTGGTGCCCCAGCGACGAGGAGGACGAGCTGTTCAATGGGTTGACGCCGAACAATGCGGGGTTCAGGGCGATGGAGCGGGACATCGACGAGCGGCACAAGAGGTAGGCGCATGCGCACAAGCACACACGTGCGCGCGTGTGTGTGTGTGGGTTTTGTGTGTGTGTGTGTGTGTGTATGTGTGTGTGTGTGTGTGTGTGTGTGTGTGTGTGTGTCGTGTCGCGCGTGCGTGTGTGTGTGTTGTGTCGCGTGTGCATGTGTGTGTGTGTGTTGTGTCGCGTGTGTGTGTGTGTGTTTTGGGGGGGGGGGGTGGGAGGGGGGAGGATCTCTATGTTGGAGCTTCTGACGCAACAGAGTGATAGTGAAAGCGGTCTACGTGTCTTGGTGCTTCCAGTACGGTGGTATCACATGCATGTTTCCTGCATGCACAAACCCATGATGCGACCAAAGCAATGCCCGCGATGACACCACATGCGCCACAAAAAGGATGGTGGAGCGGCGCCAGCTGGCGGAGCGCCAGCGCGTGGCCGGCAACGCCGCCATGGCGGCCGGCCAGTGGTCCGAGGCGCTGCGCTGCTACCAGGCCGGGCTCGAGTCGCAGCGCCACAGCGCGGCGCTGCACGCCAACGCGGCGCTGGCGGCGCTCAAGCTCAAGTGCAACGTCCAGGCGCTAGAGCACTGCGACAGGGTGCGGGCGGCGCGGCCGACGAGCCCCGCGCAGCCCTTTGCCGCCGCCAAGCCGCCTGGTCCCTGCAGCACTCCACCGCCTGCAGCCCTCCCAGACGTGCACAATGACGATGCGCCAGCAGTGTCGTAAAGCGCGCCAAGCCCTGCTTATGCACGCCAGTAAATAACCACATCTGCCCCAAACCCTGCCGCCCCTCCATGCATCACACCAGGTCCTCCACCTATGCGAGCACCTGCACAACACCCCCCGCGACCCCCTCTGCGCCAAGGCGCTGCAGCGGCGCGCCGCTGCGCTGCAGGCGCTGGACCAGCACGACCGCGCGGCGGCTGACCTGGAGAGGGCGCTGGCCATCCTCGGGGGCAAAGACAGGGAGGTGGAGGCGCAGCTGGCGCGGCCCCGAGCTGCATGCCATACAGGGATTGGCAGGGCGGGCAGCGCCGTGCGGCTTCTGGCCGCACGCCCACAATCTCCACCTGAACTATGCTTGCCTGTAGCGATGTGGGCGCGGCAGCCTGGGCGGCTCGAAATTCTCTCTGCAGGTCCTGGGCGGACTGGTCGGTCGTGGGGTGTGACGAGGCGAGCAGAGCTCGTGGGATGTCAGCTCAAATGTTGCGCAAACGCCACGCACGCTGCAGCTTCGAGGGAAGGGCGGCGGGGCTGCTGCGGGCGGGGCGGGCGCCCGGCTGGACGTCGGGAAGCTGCGGGAGGTGGAGCGGCTCGCGGCGAGCCTGCAGGCGGCTGTGCAGCGGCCGGGGCAGCAGCGGGAGCGGCCGGCGGGGGCGGCGCCGGATCAGCCAGGGCGGGGGCCGGGGGTGGAGGGGACGCGCGTGAGTGAAGGCGAGGGAGAGGCGCGGGAGCAGGCCAACGACGGCGCTGAAGGGCTCGCAGAAGCGTGCATACAGCTGACAGGTTGGTTCAGAGGGTGTTTGACACCAACAGAACAGGTCAATTCCTGCTGCGTATGTGCTGCTCATTACCTGCTGCATGAGTGCTTGGAACGTACCTTGCAAGGCATGCAGGAGGCCTGCGCAGTGCTCGCCACTTCTGGCACTGCTTTTACATGGCCCTTCACACTGTGTCATATTCGTGTGTGCTCACCCTTCCATCACTTGCAGCTGTCATCTCATCGGACGATACCTGCAGCACATACTTCCGCACCTGTGGCGGCCTGCAGGCGGCGAGCCGGCTGCTCGCCGCCCGCTCGGCAGCTGGTATGCCTGCGCTCCCCCCCAAGGGTGGCGCCACAGCCAGCGGCGCAGCCAAGGCTGGTGGCGTCGCAGAAGTCCAAGAGGCTGAGCAGCAGCATGGGCTGGCGCGGGTCCAGGCGGCACTGCTTGGGCTATTGGAGGCGGCCTGCGCCAGCCGGGTGTCCCTAGAAGAGGTGGCGGCTGATGAGAGGCTGATGGCAGCTGCCGTGAAGCTGCTCGGCAGCCGCGGCGCCACGGTGCGCGACGCGGCGGCGCGGCTGCTGTTCTTGGCGTCGACGGTCGACACGGCTGGCCCCTCGCATCGGCAGCCCGCGGCCGCGGCGCTGGCGGCGCAGAACGGGGCCGGCATGGCGCGGCTGCTCGGTTTGCTGCCGCAGGCGGGCGAGTCGCTGCAGGTGCGGAGGCGGCCTTGTGCTGGTGGTGAAGAGTAAAGCTTTTCTCGCGCTGCTGGTTACTGTTCACGAGGCAACCGTCGCTCTGGTGCATGGAGCTTGGGGTATGCAAGGCGGTGTGCGCGAGCGCTGGTCGGCCCGGCCCCCACACAACCTGTGCCACCAAAGTCACTGTGACCGCCGCGCGCCCCGGCCCCGCACCAGGCCACGGTGCTGTCGCTGGCGGGCAACTGCATGCTGCACCCCGGCGCCCGCGCCGCCGCGACGCACCTCCTGGCGCAGCCAGAGCGTGCGGCGCTGCTGGCCGGCGTCACTTCTCTCATCGGCGGCGGAGCTGGGAGCAGTCGCGACACCCAGGCCGGTTCCGGAGGCGCCCGGGCCGGCAGCTGGGTGGAGGAAAAGGCGCTTGTGCTGATCAGCAACATGTGCAGCCACCCGCCGCTGCGGCGGATGCTCGCAGGCGACGGGCAGCTGGTTTCGGGGGTCGCAGCGTGCTCGACTGACGGAGCGGCGAGCTCAACGGGGGCGGCGCGTGGCAATGGTGTGCACGCGGCGGCGCTCGGCTGCCTTTGGAACTTGAGCGTCGAGCCATCGGCGCACGCAGCGCTGGCGCGGCAGCCGCAGCAGCTGGTGGCCTTGCTGAGCCTTGCCTGCAGCTGCGAAGCGGGCGTCGGCGGCGAGGGCACGGGCGCGGGCGCGACCGGCGGGGGCAGCGAGTGGCTGGCGCGCAGCAGGGCCGCGGGCGTGCTGGCACGGGTCGCGAAGGATGAGGGGGCCGCGGCTGTGCTGGAGGAGCTGGGGGGGCTGCGGTGCCTGGTTGCTGCCGTTCAGGCTTGGCAGCAGCGGCGGCAGCAGCAGCAGCAGCAGCAGCAGCAGCAGCAGCAGCAGCAGCAGCAGCAGCAGCAGCAGCAGCAAGATGAGGAGGAGCACACCTCTCCTGCAGCCCCCGCGGCCGTCGCAGGTGCTGCAACAGTAAAAGACACTTGCAGTGCTGGCACCTGGCTGGACGGCGCCGTGAAGGTGATTGCCCTGCTAACAGGGCGGCTAAGCACCTTCAGCAGCAGCGGCACAGGCAGCGGCTGCAGCGAGGAGCTGGCGGAGGCGATCATTGCAACAATGTGCGCCGTCTGCAGCAGCCACACCACCGCCGCGGCCGTCCTCGGCAACGCGGCCCTGTGCCTCGGCCGCTTCGTGGCCGAGCCTGCGTGTTCGCCTGCGCTGCTGCGCCACGACGCCGTGGGGGCGCTGCTCTGCGCGGCGCGACGCGCGGGGCGCGGGAGCGCGGCTGCACGCAATGCGGGCATCGCGCTGGCGAAGGCGGCGCGGGCGGATGCGGCGCTGCTGGAGAGGCTGAGGGAGCTGCGGGGGCTCGAGGTGATCTATGAATTCGTGAAGCCCTGAATGATAACCTTGTAATTATTCCAAAGTGAATTGTCTGCAGGCCTTACAAGGGGCAAGCGTGCAAAGCTGGCGGTGCAGCTTGTGAGTGAGTAGAGTAGAG